GTGTGCACCGCAGTGACCTTCGTGTACCTCTTCGAGTACTTGCCTTGTCTGGTGCGGCCCTAAGCACTTAGTGAGGGGTCCGCCAAACGTTCTTTTGTACAGGTCGTGGTTAATCAGGCAGTATCGGGCGACCTGTACACGGAGCTTTTTGGCTGCCTTTTTGTCGAGTAGGAGTGTCCCATCCTGCAGATAGGAGACAAACTGGTTGCGCCAGTCCCAAGTCAGGATTAAAGAGAGTATCTCAGTGTGATCTATGGCTAAATGGAGTAGGGTGACTATGTTTCCCTTGTTGATGTTCTTGGTGGCTGCGGCCAACTTGGCTAGGCCGTCTGCTTCGACGTTCTGCGCCCTTGGGATTTGCTCCAGGCGGCATTCGTCGAATTCGGGCATCAACTTGTGGATTTCTGATTGATATTTCTGCAGCCTCTGTTCCTTGATCTGGTAAGTCCCGGTGACCTGGTTTACCACGAGTTGAGAATCGCAATGGAGGATGAGTCGTCGAGTCCCGTATTTGATGGCTAACTTCATACCTGCAATCACAGCCTCATACTCGGCCTCATTGTTAGTCATCTCGGGGCATCGTATGGACTGGCGAATTATTTCGCCCGTGGGGACCTCGAGTACGAGTCCCAGTCCCGATCCCGAGGTGTTAGAAGCGCCATCAGTGTAAAGGGTCCAGAGGTCGGCACCAGGTGTGGCGCGAATGGCCTCTAGTTCCGCTTTCGACAAAATATCTATGCTAAAATCGACGACAAAATCTGCAAGTACCTGCGACTTGATGGCATTTCTTGGGTGATAGGATATGTCATGCTCACTGAGCTTTATGGCCCATCTGGCGAGCCTTCCCGACAGTTCGGGTTTGTGTAGGATGCTCCGCAGGGGGAAAGTCGTTACAACCCTTATTGGGTGGCACTGAAAGTAAGCTCTAAGCTTTCGTGAAGCTACGACCAGTGCTAGGGCGAGCTTCTCGAGGTGTGGATACCGTGTTTCGGCGTCCACTAGGGTTTTGCTGATATAGTAAATAGGAGATTGCGTACCTTTGTTTTCGCGGACCAGGACTGCGCTGACAGCGACTTCGGACACCGCCAGATATACCAGCAAGGGTTCACCTGGGTTCGCCTTGACTAGCAATGGTGGTGAAGACAGGTATTCTTTCAATTTTTTCAAAGCCTCGGCGCATTCCTCATTCCATTGTAGCCCGTGATCTTTTCTCAATACGTTAAAAAATTTGTGGCACCTGTCGGAGGATCGCGAGATGAACCTGGATAGGGCGGCTATTCGCCCTGTCAGTTTTTGTACCTGTTTTTTTGCTGTTCAAAGTCTCAGGTATTGCGTCTATTGCCTTGATCTGGTCCGGGTTGACTTCGATACCTCGTTGTGATATGAGGAACCCCAAGAACTTCCCTGATGCTACGCCGAAAGCGCACTTTTCTGGGTTCAATTTCATCCCATACCGCCGCAGTATCTCGAAAGCTTCTTTCAGATGATCGAGGTGGTCTTCTTTGTTTGCCGATTTTACCAGCATGTCATCGATGTAGACCTCCATGGTCTTGCCAAGCTGTTCCTTGAACATTCTGGTGACCAGTCTCTGATATGTCGCCCCTGCGTTTTTGAGTCCGAACGGCATCACTTTGTAGCAGTATGTCCCCTGGTGGGTGATGAATGTTGTTTTCTCTTGGTCCTCTTCGGCCATCATGATTTGGTTATAGCCAGAGTAGGCATCCAAAAAGCTTAGCAGCTCATGTCCCGCTGTGGCGTCGATCAACTGGTCGATGTGGGGTAATGGGAATGAGTCTTTTGGGCATGCTTTGTTGAGGTCGGTGAAATCAACGCACATCCTCCATTTCCCATTTTTCTTCTTGACCATCACGACGTTGGCGACCCATTGGGGATATTTTGATTCCCTTATGGACCCGTTGGCCAGTAGCTTATCTACCTCTTCGCTGACGGCCTCGTTGATTGCGGCGTTGAACTTCCTTCTGACTTGCCGCACGGGTGGATATAATGGGTCGACGTTCAGTTTGTGGGTGGCGATGTCTCTTGGTATTCCCGGCATATCTGAATGAGAAAAAGCAAAAAGATCCGCGTGGTTAGTAAGGAATTCATGGTACTTATATAGGTCGCAGAGGCTGTGTCCGATGTAGGCTTTCTTCGTGTGGTCGGTACTGTCCAGTTGCACCGGGTCGAGATCCTCGACCGTTGCTTTGCAGGCTTCTATGATATCCGGATCTTTTATGGCGTCCATTGTCGGGTTGACCTTAGTCCCCGACACGACTGATTGCTATGCCTCCGCACTTGCACCTTTCAACTGTTTGGTGTGTGAGCAGTCTTGAGCGATTCGGTAACACTCTTGTGCTGTGCGCGGCTCGCCCCGAATGCTAAACATTCCCCAAAGGGTGGGGAACTTGATCACTTGGTAGAAGCTTGAGGGGACTGCTCGCATGGCGTGTATCCATGGTCGTCCTATGATGGCGTTGTAGGCCGTTTCCTGGTTCATGACGTGGAAAGTGGTTTCCAGCGTAACTCCCCCTGCTAAAATCGGCAATGATACCTCCCCGGAGGTTCGTTCCATTGCATTGTTAAAACCAGTTAATGTTATGCAGTGTGCTATTATCTTATCTTCGAGCCTCATTTGAGCGAGGACTCTTGGATAGATAATACAAGCGCCGCTTCCGTCATCAACCATGATCCTCTTAACGTCAGTGTCAGCAATACGTAAAGCTATGACTAAAGCATCATAATGAGGAAAAGACAAACCGTCGGCATCAGACTTATTGAAGGTGATACTTTCTTCGAAGTCGTCATACCGTTCATGGGCGATTGTTCGCTTTAATTTGTGCGAGGTGGTGAATTTTACATGATTGATCGCTGAATCATCGCCTCCTCCGACGATCATATTGATGATGCGCGCTGGCGAAGGTGGCTTTGGCGGTCCCTGAGGTTGTTCCCGTCCTCGTGCGAAATTTATCTTTCCTTTATCGCTGAGCAGCTCTCTCAGGTATCCTTGGTTCAGCATTCTGACTACCTCCTGCCGTAGCCCTATGCAGTCTTCGGTTTTGTGCCCTCGTTCCTGATGGAACTCGCATAGGACATTTGATTTCCTTGTGGCGGGGTCTGATTTCATCTTCTGCGACCATTGTACTTTGGTGCCCAGCTTCTCTAGTGCGTCCACTATTTCTGAGGGAGACACGCAAAAGTTGGCGACATATCACTGCAGTGCTTCTGTATGTCTGGGCGGTGGTGGATGCGAGGATCTGGTGTAAGGCTGATGCCTTTTGTTTGTTGGAACGTGAGGATTGTTCCCTCCGGCCCTCGCTGCGTCGATCCCTTCTTGATTCTGACTGTATCATCGTGAGCCGCTGGGTTGGTCCGTTGAGGTCATCTTCATCTGCTCGTACCTCGGCGCAGTAGGCGTTGTGAATTTCCTCCCAAGTGGTGGGGGGATACTTCATGAGTCGGCTCAGTAGCTTTTTGGTTGCTCTTGAACCATCTCTACTTAGTCCGTTTTGGAAGGCTGCTACCGCCATGCCCTCCGACACGTTTGGCAGGCTCATCTTTACTCTGTTGAATCTGGCCAGGAAGTCCCTGAGTCCCTCACCTGCGGTTTGCCGGACGGCGAAGATATCGTTGACCCTGGCCTCTGCTTTCCTTGATCCTGCATGGTCGGTGGCGAATTTATCCGCCATTTCTTCGAACGTTGATATCGTTCTGGCTGGCAGCTGCGAGTACCACGTTAACGCCCCTCCCGTTAACGTTTCCCCGAACGTTTTCAGCAGTACAGATGGTACCTGTTCCTTTGACAGATCATTACCTTTCACAGCGGTCACATAGTGGATCATGTGGTCTTCGGGGTCTGTCGTCCTGTCATATATCCTTAAGTAAGGCGGCATTTTGAAAGTTTTTGGGATCGGATGAGGTGCAGCTTCTTCGCTATAGGGTTCTTCGACGAATCTTCTCACGTCGTGCTTCGGTAGTAACTTAGGAGCGCCGGGAATTTTGTCCACCCTTTCTTGATGCTCTTTCATTTGATCCCGAAGTGCCTTATTTTCACTTTCCATTTCTTCCATTTTCTTTAGGATGGCTGCAAGTGTGCCATCGCTGGTGTGGTCATTGGAGTGGTTGTTGTTTGTTCGTACAGTATCGTGTTCGCTGGTGGTAGCGATATCAGTCGTCAATGGGTTCTTAGCGTTGTTTTGGGGTGATTTCTCGAGTAAGCTGCCTAGGGTGTTCATCAGCCACTCTTCTTGTAGTTTCTTGACCACTGGAGGTGGGGTTTCTTTGATCACAGACGTGGAAGCTCCTTTTTCGTGCAAGATCGTCAGATCTTCGGATGGAGAGGGTGAGATTTCTCCCTCTTGAATGCTGCCAGGTGTTGTGCTCAAGATATTTCCCTACCGGCTTCGTTGAGGGGGCCAATGAGGTTGGCTGTGACACCGGCTATCGCTTTCAATCTTGCGTCATTTTCTGCCATTTTTTGATATCGATAGGATGTGAAGGAAGGTGGTTTGTTCTTGAGATTCTAGGTGCAGACTATGATTTCGATTGCCGAAATCCCCACAGACGGCGCCAAATTGTTTGACTCGAAAGTTAGTTAATACTTAGCAAGCAAATACAATCAAAAATAGATCAAAGGTAAATCGTAATCGAATATAATGAGACCTAGAAAATGTGCATAATATCCTTTATTGCTTTTTGATATACTGAGTGTTCCAGAGAGTAAAAATGTAGAGAGAGAGAGAGAGATTGAGAGGGAGGTAGAGAGAGAGCCTGTATGAGAAAAGAATCTCTCCTTTACAACATTGGGATCCTCCTTTATATAACAGGAGGATCTCCTCGAGATAATAAAATAATATAAAAATAGGTCGTGCGTCCTCGAGGGGACGACGAGACTTGTTAACGCGCTTTCGCTCCGACATTCTAGGAGCGTACCCTCACTACGACCACTGTTTAGCGCAGGGTCGTGGTCACAGCAAGGGGCAGAATTTGACCCTATACACTACTAAGATAGGGTTGGTTTTGTGCATGGCTTTGTTTGGAGTGTTGATTGCTTGTGCTAGGGCTTTTAAAAGCGTGAATCCTATAGCAGGGGATCTGGTAAAACCATGCCTTGGATGGGCTGTGCTTCTGAGTCTCGCAAATCTTAAGCTTGTATACCACAAGGTATGCATCATGACGCACTTGTTCTTTTGCCTGTAATGTAATGTACTGTAAGAAAGATGCATGGGAAAAAAAATAGTGTCAGTGGAGTAAGAATGTAAGAATGTTTTGCAGGGCCAGGTAGTAAATTCTTGAACGAGTTCTTCAAAACATCTTAACTTGGGAACAAAAGCAAATACTGGAATTTTCCTGGGAGAACCTGAGCCTTTAAGCTTCAAGCATGAATTTAAACCTTGTAGAACATGTCCAATATCTAAAAGGGGACAGGTGTTCCCAAGTAAAATGTACAGAGACAGAAACCATAGAGATCAGCGGAAACTTGTTAATTCATGTTCATCATATCCTAAGTTGCTCGGACACGGATCAAGTCTCCGACATGAGTCCGAATCTACAGGTCGGATCTTTTGAAATGTAAATTTTAAGATGACCTGATCCTTTGAGAAGATTTGGGATATGAATCCCCATAAGGATACGGGTGCAAAAATCCGATTAAAAATATTTCAAAAAATAGAAAATATAAAAAATATTTTTAAATTATGAAAATTTTTGAGGAATACTTATATATAATTAGTGTAGATATTTTTTTAGAATGTATATTTTCTTAATGTTGATTTTGGAAATTAAATTGTATATCGTCTTAAATTTTTTTTTTTTTTTGTAAGTCGTAGTCAAAGTACCCAAAATTGTTTGACCAGATTCTATACCCAAAACCATTAATCTGCCATATCGAAAAATCTTAGATCATATCAGAACCTTAAAAGCAAGACGAATATATAGCCTGAGCTGCTGGCTTGGCACTAAAATATGTGTGATGGTTGAGGAAGAATTATCAGAAGAGGGAACTTAAATCATTCAGGCCCGAGCAAGAAAATGAGTTTGAGCTTCCTAAGTGTCACAGAAATTCTCCTCTTCTGATCAATCTCTTGGCCTTCCCATTTTTGAAACCCAGGCTTTCGGTTTATCTCATGCTTCCAATCCCCATATCAAAATAAGACATCCTGGGATCAAGATTTGTGGTGGATCTTGGTCTCTGCATGTTTCATTCTCAACTCGAGTAAAATGCATCACGCAGGATGACTCCAGAGATACGATAGCAATTCCATCCTCAAAGCGCATTAGATCAACATGTGGACAGATACCCTGTTATAAAGCAATGCCATTTCATTACCAGGATACTACTAAAATGAGAAACGCAACTCCCAGATTTAACTGGTGATGCTAAATCAACTAAAATCCAATGTGGTCAAAGCTGCTTAATTAACATTGCTTATCGGTCTAAAATCCAATACAGTTCGAATCTGCTAATAAAAATCACTCCAGAATTTGCAGTAATATTTTGACTCAAATGGAAGAAATCATGATATCACTGTTCTGTTCAGTATAAAAGAAAATTAAAAGGCACTCGTAAGGAGATTAAGTTTAAGAAGACTATGCGCACTATATGAGAATGTTAGTCCTTAGCCCAAAAAAGAAAAAAATATTACCATTTGGAAACACTGAAAGGAAAGATGATGTTTAATAGCAGCTAAGCCTAGATGTTAATACCAGCTCGTGTTACTTATAGCATATCCACAGCAGAGAGGCATCTTATCCTACAACTTTCCAGCTTCACAGTCTATTGTTCTTTTGCCTGGGAACAGATCAAAGTTGTTCAGTCATTACACAACTTTTGTTTGTACGGTCATATAAGTGCTATGGCTGAAATCTGATTGACTAGACTTTGAGAAACAAATTCCAGTATTTCAGAATACTAGTGTAGGAAAGCTCTCCTCTACTAGATATTTATTCAATTTCTTTGACCGACTTAGTTCATTGCTACGAGAATCTGTATCATACTAATAAGCTTCTCTTCATAAACCAGAACCCTGTTTATACTTCTTAACCATCTGGCACGCATTTCTCGATTTGTGCATGTCATCCTTGCGCAAGGAGGGAGGGATTGTGGGTCTAAGGAGAGGTAGGATGTTATGAATCAACCCCAGTCCAATAAGGATGTCAACACACAAATAGCTATTGGGCTGAGAACAAAAAATAAAATTTAAAATAAAAAATATTTCAATAGTAATAAATTATAAATCTTCTCATATATGACAAAAAGAAAGCGAATACTAAATATTGGTTAATATAATAAAAAAAATATTCACTAATACCTTTGATTTAATAGAGATTTCATTATTGGGTATATCTATTGTTAGCAGCGTCAGAAGATTTTCCTAAATAGGTAGATAGAGCATTCGCCGCTAAAAGATTATATATAAGTTACGATGAGTCAGTTGGTTTAAATTAAATATTAATTTAGTGAGAAGGATATTATAATTCTACCTAGATTACCCTATCATGTTTTCGCTGTAATTCTTTTGCCTTTTTATTGCCTAATGAACTTGATGTTAACAAAAAAGTCATGATGGATCAACAGAGAACATAGCTTGATTTGAGATAAAATGTAATTTTAGAATCATTTTTTTTTAATTTCGTTACGGAGTTTCCTTAATTGAAAAAGTTATTTTATTTATTATGATAAGAAAGGTCATGTTGTGCATATGGCCACATAATTCAAGTCTAATAGATAAAATAAAAAATTAATTTTATTAAATAATTAAAATAAATTAGAGCTATCGAGAGAAGATATACAATATTTAAAAATAGTATCGATAAATTTAAACTATTTATGAATTCCGAGAAATTTTTTTAAATAAAATAAATATTTATTTCAAGATTAAAATAATTACAATATATATCTACATTATATTAAAGGATAGTAATGAATAAAAGGTCACATGAAAACATGATAATACTATACACTAGATAATAATAATAGCAAAATTAAGGAAAATAATTAAAAATGGAATGAGAATATTATTTGAACTTAAAATTAGAAAATTCTTAATATTATGATGAGAATGCTCAAACTATGAATAGGACCACAAAATTTAATAACACAAAATAAATATCTAATGTAGGCAATTTACATATGAAAATTAAAAATCAAATTTGTATCTTCAAACTAAAAGAGAAACAAAATTTAATTGGATGTATTAGAAAAATATTTATTAGAAAACTCAATAGATTTGAAACATAATAATCAAAAAACTTATGCATTAATATTTTAGACAATTAAAAGTTACTGTTTAAAATAAAATATGATAATATTTTTATTATAGGCAAATATTAATGTACAAAACATCATTTAAAATTTCATAGTAGGAAAGAGAATATATATAGAGAAAAATAAAGATAGTGTGAGGGTACTTATANGATTTAGGTCTAAATATTGATTGATTAATCTTTTTGGACAAAATTCCTTTCAATTATTTAATTAATTAACAAAGTTTTCAATCCAGTATAACTCATGACCCGCGACGCGACCCGGTCTGGTACCGTTTTCTTTCCCAGATTATTTTAAATCCATATTCCTGCAATATTTCAAACAGAAATATTCCCTAAAAGCCATGGCTGTTTCTGAAAGGTTGCAAATTTGTTCAAAAACAGTGCCAGAAAGTCTATAAATACGCTTTGAATCCCAGAATCTTTCCTAACAAAATTTTCTAACTCAAACAACACATATCACAATATGACAGTTTTTAGTATTCTTTAATGTTGATAGCAAAACGAAATGCAAATACTAAAATCAAGGGGTTCTGTTGTTACATATATAGAAAAAGAAAATAGATCACCGATTATGACATTTTTGAAAAATAGTTTCATGTCCTGCTTCTAAAGGTTTATATTTTAAAGTTATTACAATTCAAATAATCCAAGTCAGTTTTGACATGGTTTGAAGTCCGCGCATCGCGCGGGTACTAATACTAGTTCTATTAAAAAGAGCAGCGGTCGGTAATTTTGGGATTATGCGTATTGTTGAAGAACTCTGTTCCCCTCTCATCTCCCTTCTTCCTCTGGACTATCTCTGCTCTCTCAATCCTTCTTCTCTTAATATCCTCCTTAGTTCTAGTTTTTGTTATTGTAATGATTGACTCGTTGAGTTTATGAATTAAACCTATCATTTTCCTCGTTTACTTTGTCTTGTGAATTCGGGTTCTTAACATTGGTGCTTTCATCGATTCGGACTCCAATGGCAGCAGTGATACTGGATAAATTCAGCAATGGCAACCCAGAGGGCTGGGTTTATCGGGCACAGAGTTACTTCAATTTCCTTGGTTTTTCGGAGAAAGACTGGTTACCTCTTCCTTATTTCTACCTTGAAGGTGATGCTCTCGCTTGGTTCGATTGGCTATTTCGCAACAAACAATTCTATGATTGGAACCATTTCAAGGAAAAATTATTTTTGCGATTTCGGAAACAGCCTGTCGCAAATTCAAAGAGGAGTCTAGCTGATTCTTCCATGGCTTATCATAACTACATTAGTTACTCTACTTTGGATTCATCTGAGGTTCAGGTAGCTCCTATAGTTGATTTGCGCCATAATTCCAACTTCTATGAGTTAGAATATGCATCCGAAGTTGGTAACTCAGAAGCCAAGCATGTGTTCGATGAAATGTCTCCTAGAATTTTCACCAAAGCAGTCGAGTGTGATTCTCTAGACTCGACATCATCGGTTCCTGCTGTTGACATTCTGGTTGGTCTGGACTCTATTGAAATTGACCCTATAGACTATACTGCTAGTGCCACTACAACTTTATCAAATAAGGAAGACAAAGTGTTTGACCAAATTTCACAAGGAATTGGCACTGTTTTGTGGTACCATTCTGCAGACGATGTTCCCTTTCCAATTTCTTTTGACGACTCACCCTTGCTTCTATCCAGTGTTGAACAACTAAATGCGCAGGTCTTGTTCCCTGGGATTGAATCTGCTTTAGAGGAAGACACCACAAGCTATGTGAACCAGGTTTTCGTTAAAAGTCCTAAGCGAGATACCACTGAACAATGCAGTCAATTTGCCACTATGCTTATGGATTCTTTTATTTGTTTGGTCCGAGGTGTTAATCTTTCAATTTATCAAATGCTCGCATTGCCTTTTAGTGTCAATTTGGACGATGGCCATATGCTCGATTCTTCTTATTGCTTTCATGTGAGGGCTTGCATATATCTCCACTATGTGCCTGATTCAACAATAGGGACTACCCCATTTTGTAGTTGTGGGGACAATTGATTTGACACAGGGCAAGATTTTAAGG